ATGATCTGGGAGTACTTTATGCCTCACTCCATCACGGAGGCTTTGCCACAATGTAGTATTGAACCCATGACAACATCAGGGGCACAATGTAGTTTGCCTACATCTATATATACTAGAGGCCTGGTGCACAAATTCGTGCATGAGTGGGGTCCAGCCAGCCCACCCTGATCGGGGTGGTGGGGGCCAAATGGGGTCAGGGCTGGCCAGGGGGAGGAGCCGTGGGCAGTTGGCCAGCCCTGCCCCAGTTGAACTCCTTGTGGAACTCTCGGTGGAGAGGAGGATTTGCATATTAAGCTTTTATTATCTATATATATAAAGAGTCAGAGGCCGTCACATCCGAAAAAAACAAATGGATGATGGAACAGGCTGAGTGGGGCGACAAGGCCGGCAGAGGTATTAGTGAGGGATGACCAAATGACTGAGCAGCAGGCTACGTGGGGTGATCAGGCTGGCAGGGGGATGGTGAGGGATGACCAAATGACTGAACAAGCAAGCTGTGTGGGGCAACCAGGCCAACAGGGGGGACAATGAGGGGTGACCAGGCTGGCAGAGGGGGGCAGTGAGGGGCGTTCACGCAGGCAGGCAGGTGAGCAGTTAGGAGCCAGTGGTCCTGGATTGTGAGAGGGATGTCCGACTGCCGTTTTAGGCCTGATCCATCATCGGGCCTAAACCGGCAGTTGGACATCCCTCAAGGGGTCCCCGATTAGAAAGGGTGCAGGCTGAGCTGATGGGACCCCACCGTACACGAATTTGGTGCACCAGGCCTCTAGTATAGGATAAAAGACTAAGCAACCGTTACAACCGAACAACATGAATGATTGGAAGGACCGGTCAACCAGTCACTATGACGAGCACTAACCACCAGGGGGCAGCTCCTGTGTTGCGTGTCTGCCCCCTGGTGGTTAGTACACTCCCACAGCCACCCTCCCATGGCTGACCAACCTCCCCTGTTCCCTCCTCCTGCTCCTCCCTCTGGCCGGCAGGCCCCTATTGGGACTGGGTGAGATGGCCCTATTCAGCCCTGATCACTGGCCAGGCCTAGGAATCACACCGTGCACAAATTCATGCACCAGGCCTCTATTTTTTTTTTAATATATTTTATTAATTTTTTTACAGAGAGGAAGGGAGAGAGATAGAGAGTTAGAAACATCGATGAGAGAGAACCATCGATCAGCTGCCTCCTGCACATCTCCTATGGGGGATGTGCCCGCAACCCAGGTACATGCCCTTGACCGGAATCGAACCTGGGACCTTTCAGTCCGCAGGCCGACGCTCTATCCACTGAGCCAAACCGGTTTCGGCCAGGCCTCTATTTTTAAATATAAGTATCATTGATAGAGTGAGCGAGAAGCTTAGTGTTGTGACGTATTTTAAAAATAGTCTGCGGCCTGGCCTGTGTAGCTCAGTGGTTGAATGTCCACCAATTAACCAGGAGGTCAGGGTTGGATCCCTGGTAAGGACACATACCCAGATTGTGTGCTCAGTCCCCAGTAGGGGGTGTGCAGGAGGCAGCTGGTCAATGATTCTCTTTCACCACTGATGCTTCTATCTCTCTCCCTCTCCCTTCCTCTCTCTCAAATCAATTAAAAACATTTTATTTTTATTTTATATACTAGTATATTTGTATTGATTTCAGAGAGAGAAATAGAGCTAGAAACATCAATGAGAGAGAATCATTGATTGGCTGCCTCCTGCACTCTCCCCTACTGGGGATCAAGCCCCCAATCTGGGCATGTGCCCTTTATCAGAATTGAACCCAGGACCCCCCAGTCTGCAGGCCAATGCTCAATCCAGTGAGCCAAGCAGGCTAGGGATTATATATATATTTTAAAGAGCATGGACCATGGAGCTGAAGGGTCTGGGATTCAAACCTGGCTCTACCCTCACCTGCTGTGTGACCTTGACAAGGAGCCCTGCAGTTGGCAGCAAAGCTCTCCAGCCCACAGGCTTGGACAAATAAAGAAGTGCAATCACTTGTGTATTGAGGTGTGTGTGGTTATTTGATAGAGACCATCCTATGGCCTCCACTGGAAGCTGAGTAAATGCTACGTCAACGTACACGACTCGTCCGCAAAGGAAGGATGATAACGCCACGGTGTGGGTGAGGAAACCGAGGCCGCAGAGAAGTGATTGCCCAGTCACACCGTGGTTAAGAGGTGGGGTCAGAGTGCACTCACGTCACCTGATTGCCCTGGCTGAGCATTTTTAACTGAAAGTGCCGCTCAGAGTGATCACAGGGGAACGACCAGTGCAAATGCAAGAATATTTAATAATGAAAGACAGAGTAGCCCGCTACTCGGGGATTTCACAAATACAAAAGACACAAGGGTGACAGAACCCAAAATTCTGCAGTAACCTAAGGACTTCAGGCTCTGTCACTGCCTGATCCCTAAGGGACCAGGCCTCTCCAGTGGAGAGATGCAGGAGTCACAGATTCATAGAATCTCATAGGAGACACTGAAGGCTCAAACCAGGGCGTGGGAACTGCCATGGAGACTCGGTTCTGGGCTGCTGGTACCCAGAGAAGTAGAGCCTCGCCCATGGGACGTGGGGTCAGCGTCCCCCGTGGACTCAGGACTCAAGTCTCTTCCTGCCACACAAGGCCCCTGGCGGGTCTTCGGGCAATGCATTCCACAGACATGTCCCTGCTCCCAGGGGACGCGTTGTCCTCTCGGGAAATGTACCCGCACTTCACCGCGGACGCCAGCAGCTCCAGAGTTGGGGCGACGCCGGGAAACAGCTCGGGGCTGGGCAGGCTGCTCAGCACGGCCTGGGCGTCCGAGAGGCCCCGGGCCACCCAGGCGGGAGCCGTGCGCCAGGACTGCGGGGACTTGGCGGAGTTAGAGACGCCGCGACCGCCGCCCTGTCCCCCCACCCCCACCC